TGCGTACTGGGTTGAAGACCGATGTCGAGAGGTACTGACGTTGAGCCTGCCCTAAGCCAGCCCCCGGGCAGCCGCACCTCAACTGGGTCTGAAAAGCCACGGTCCTGTGCGGACGAGGACAGAAACGAAGGATGAGAGACAGGGAAGAGCTCGGGGAGGACAGAACCAGAACAGATGGAGAAGAGGCTGTAGGTTAGCCAGCTCCACCGCTCCGGTTTCTCACACATGCCCAACCTCGTGGCAAATTGCCAGGAGAAAACAGGGAAAAGATTTCTTCCTGCTGGCACGCGACGTTTTGCTCCAAGCCCCAAACAACTCCGGCCTCCCCTACCTCCGGGCGCCTTCAAAAGACGCCCTGAAATTCCTGCCTCTTCAACCCTTTCGCAGTGGCACACCGAATGCATTCCGGCCTTCGGAAGCGGCACGCGACGGCCGTACGGGTAAGCCAGGATTTGTCCTTCCGAAGAGCACGACACTGTTGTGCGTACGCTGCCGTGGGAACGACCCCTCCTTCAGTCAGTCGCGGCCTGCGCTGGGAGGTAGCGTGACGGGCCAGCGGAGCTCGCCAATTCAGTCAGGCGTGGGCAACTCCTCTCCGGTCAGGTTTTTCCTCCCCTTCGCCCCATTTCCTCAACTCCACAACCCTCAGGAAAGCAGGTGCATCCGTTCAAGCCAGGCATCCTGACAGGCACCGGCGTTTCTCCAAAGAGTGTCCTTAAGCTACGGGGCTGGGGATGTTCCCAACGCCAGGAGACCGCAAACCCGTTTGTCGACAAGGGCAGTCTCCTCTCTTGCCAGGAGCCGATTTTACCCTGCAGGCTTCTCCCTCCGCCAACACCCGCTTCAGACGCGCGCCACTTGGACACGGTGGCTCGGGTCTGCTAGAGAAAGGAAATACTAGATGCAATCAAGAACGGCTCCTTCTGCTACAGGAAACCCTTTCATCAGCAAAAGCACAGCAAACCTTGCCTCCTGCTGCCACGTGGCTTGAGGCTTCCCGCCAGACCACTCTTTTGCGAGCATCTCCAAGCTCCTCGCCCCCCTCCCCCAGCCAGACAACGCAAGCGTGCGAGAGGCTCCTCCGCAGGTCGGGAAGTTGGCCTGGCGCCACGCCGGCAACATCTCCCCCGCTGCCCCTGAGAGAAAGGGTCCCGCTCGCACGGTGGCTGGTGCGGCACAGCCCCTTTCCCATTCAAGAACACGGATGCGGAAGGAGGGTGGCAGCGGCCGGACATTCGTGCGAGGTCCCTGGCTCCTATAAAAACTCACCCACTGGCTAAAGCTTCCATCTCCTCAGAGACTCCCTCCTTTCCCAGCACGCCCGGCAAGCGGGCATCCCGCAGCACTGCCAGAGGCTGCCACAGCAGCAGAGCCAGGTGGAGAACCACAGCTTGTTCTCCCGACAGCTCACAGCCTGGGAACGCAGCGCACCGCACCGCACCTCAGTCCGCTTACGCCCTCCGCACCCAGCGGAAGCGATGGCAGCATTTGGAAGGCCAGCCACCGTGTCATTCCTTCTCATGAGAAGAGCCGAGCGAGGCTACATCCCGTGTTTCTCAGCGACGCAGCTAACCCGGCAGTTTCCTGACCCGAGGGCTGCTGTGGAGAGACCCCCCGCCCTTCCCAGGACGCACCCAGCGATGTCAGACAGCTACACAGGCAGAGTCACTCCCGCAGCTCCTGGGACCCCCACGGGGATCAGTATGCCACCCGGATTTCTGGGACAAGGTGGGGTAAGACAGTCGGAGAAGGCTAAGCCAAGGCAGACGAGCAACCTAAGCCCCAAGTTCGCCACCTCCGCTCCCCAGACGGTGTCAAGCACTGGGGTGTCTTCCCTCAGCCGAGGTTGGAAGGAACCAGACTGCAGGTCACAGATACCGCAAAGTGGAAAGACAAGAGACTAGAAAAGGATCTCTGTGCAATCTTTCCGACGGGCTTCTCCCTCCTTCAGTTCTCACCTTCTGCTGTGCTGTCGCTAGCTCTGGGTTTGGATTTAGACTTGAAGGAGAAGCGTTTGATGAGGCGGCGGGAGAAGCTGCCGGCTTTCTTCCTGGCGGCGGAGTTGGCGGTGACGTTGGACAAGTCATCGTGTGACTGGCTCAGGCCCGCTTCCTTCTGCTTGCTCCTCCTCCGGAAGATGAGCTTGGTACCGCTCCGAAGAAAGCTGACTGCAGAGACAGAAAGGAGGGAGACGGGAACCGTGAGAGCGCCCCGCGGGCAGTCAACGCGCCCGGCCGCTCTCGGATGAGCGGCGACGACAACCTCCTCCCCGAGCGGAGGCAGCCGACGGCAGGTGGGCGAATCCCCACTCCCAAACCCACGGCAAAACCT